TTCTTATATCTCCGCCTTATTTAAAACAATATATAAAATAACTTTCAACAAACGGTCACAAATTATTCACTTTATTATCCACTTTAAAGCTAGGAATTTAAACTAAATGCATGTTTTGTGTTAGCAGAATTTAATTCTAACTTTAAAACTTATCCAACATTAATAAAACTTACCTCAAGTTGCCTTTTTGGACATGCATGCATATATTTGTACAAATTGTACTTGAGAGGAGATTAATACAGCCCCATATAAAATCAATAATGATCATGATATCGGAACTGGATCGGTATCAGCCGATATCCAGATTTAGGTATCGGGATCGGAAGTTAAAAAAAGTGGAAACCTCCATGTCTCAAAACGAGAAGCTAATTTTGAACAGAGTATCCAGGAAAACGAGGATAAGCTCTTTTTCTCCCAAACTTTCTCCATCCTCTGTTTTGTAAACAGCAGGTGTGCTAAGACCGACCGATTGAAACATGAAACCATAATGTGTTTGGGACTTGATTCCCTGTAAGTTGATGGGCTTTAAATAAATGACAGATGTTGCTTTTACTGCAGGGACGGCACGAGACTTGCTGAATAATTAATCGTAAGCCTTTTTGGGTGCGGAGAGAAAAACAATTAAATTTGTTTGCTACTTCCTGCATGAAGCTGGAGCCCAGCTGCTGAAGTGTGGCCTAATTTCTGCTGCTCTCTCAGGGCGGGTGGCTCTGCAGCTGCACTGCATCATGGGTAAAAGTTGGGATGAGTCTGGAAAAATAAATTGCTCTCCAGTTGGTTCACCTGTGAGGGACGGGGCCCACACCAAGGTTTATGGTTTCACTTCTACTTCACTTCTGTACCAGTGGGTTCGGTAGCAACCACAGGTGTCACAACAATGCACACTTGAAAAAATATTTGTTTGGACCCCCCCACACACACACACACACACACATTTACCATGAAATATTAGTTCAACCAGTGCTGTTTCTATTTCTTTGTGAATTAATCCATTCCACTTGATTCATAGAATGCTCATACCACTAAAAGTCCACTCCAGGTTTTCCTGGTTACCAACAACAACTCACCACTCCCATCCAGTGTTTCTCCTAAATCACTTGATGGGGAGGAGGCGGAGACACCTCTTTGTTGGGTTAGCTTAGCACCATGTTAGTGCAGTCAGTTGTTGACGGAGGGGCGGGGGGGAGGGGTAGGATGTGTGAGAGAAGCGGAGATCTACATCTGTAGCATCTTAGCTAGCATGTCTGTATTGCGCGCCACTAGTTTAGAGCTACGTTAGTGCCGACAATTGTTTAATAGTTATTGAACCAAGTGTTTGCAAATGCAGGTAAACTTAGATGTTTAAAAACCTGTTAAAATGCACCAGAATGCAGGAAATGGCATCTACTTTATTTTATCCAGACCCCCCCTCACC